TTTCATTCTCCTGAATATAATAAACTAACATGGAAAAAAAAATTCAATTAAATACAATTTGGATAAATAGACACGGCTCCAATATTGCCCATATAATCGCTTCCCCAATCTGAAAATAAACAAGAATAAAGATACAAATAATTTGCACTCTTTCATATTTCCTCGCTAAATAATCTACTGACAAGAATTTTTGGATAAATAAAAGAATTCTAGTCCCTATTGGCTTTCTTTCATTGATTGCTACTTTTCGCAATTAAATACTTAAATATATGCAATTGATGTTCACATATTACATAATTTTCATTTGGACTCTTCAAAAACACTTATAATCAGATTTGGGGCCTCTAAATGCCAAACTATTGAAATTATTCTGCTCTAAAATTATATTCTTCAACTTGGTACATATATAAAATATATAATTTAGGGCCCTATAAATGCGAGGCCCGTGCCCATCGCCCTCCTTGCCCACCCTCAGGGCGGCACTGGCAATCACCTAAGCAAAAACAAAAACAAAAACCCAAAAACCAATTGAATTATAGGGAGTCTCTAACTATATGATATCCAACATATTAATTTTAATAGATCACTCAAATGTCCACTGGTTCTCCTTAAGAATCTCCTCTTGTCCATTTTGCACCATCTAGTCAAAATGTTCTTCAAAACCATCTGTCCATTTCACTGACGCATAGAGACCATCAAATGGAGAAGTTAAATAGATTTGTCATGTACTCATCTGTCCATTTCACGATGTAAACAATTGTGTGGTGAAAACATGCAAGCATGTTGATGACATTAGATTTTATGTCTGCAAGTGGAAAACAGTATTTGATGCACTACATCGATTCAAGTGTTGTGAATGACCAATGATTGGTTTGTCTTGAGCTCCTGAATTATTATTTGTGTATTGAATTTATTCGCCATCCAAAAATTTCAATATGGAGAGGTAAATTTCCAGCTTTAAAAACAAAACAAATCTCAATTTATTATTTTGAGTTAAACTCTATTGCAATCCATAGACTAACTTTGCCAATTTGCAAACTTGGGAAGAACCAATTAGAAAAGTCATTAAGTTCTTAACATAATTGGTTAATTAAGATCGTCATTAACTTTGTTCCTGCATATTTTTTGGTCCTACGTCTTCTTTAGTTGCATACTAAACTTAGACAGAACCAAAACCAGCCACCAATTCGAAGAATCCAAATTCCAGAACCAAAGAAAGAAAAAAAATCCAAAACCAAAGAAAGAAAAGAGAATAGTGCCTAACTCAAAATAACCAAAATCCCCAAAAGCAAGACTTGTCTCGTGAATTCAATTCCCATTGCCTAAATATATATATAAGCTAACATGTTGAATGTAAAATTAATAGAATGGCCCTTGTATGAATGCAAATGATTTTGTGTGAGTTCAGTTTAGTTATTCTACGATTAATTTCCAAGAGATGTAATTTATTATGAATTTATCGACAAGAAAGAAGTTTTATAACACACAAAATAGGAGACATAACTCTATCATTAGAAATATTTGACAAACAAGGTTTTGTAGAAATCTTGGTTACATCTAACAAAAAAAATTATCTAAAAAAACAATTGAATTATAGAAGAAAAATAATAGACAAAAAATCAAATTATGTAATAATAACAGGTATCTAGGGGATCTTTAACTCTCTCACTCGAATGCCCATCGGTTCTCATTACGAACCTCCTGTTCTTCCTCAGGCGTGAAGTCATTCTTGATGTTGAAGATCTCACGGATCTCTTCAGGTGTCTTTCCCTTGATCATGTCCGCCACAGTCTGGCAGGTCAAATCCAGCAGGCTCTTGATATTGAGATAGTTTGCAGCCAAGATTAAGTCAAACAGAGTACTCTGGTCCACCTTCACGAACGCAGCATCCCAGTTCTTAATGTCCTCTTTGTTCTTCTCGCCATCGGCATCCTCTTCATGTTTCTTCTTGCAGTACTCGATCACCTTCGCTACGATGTTGCTGGTCACGTTCGGCAGAGGTATTGGGCCATCGGCGCAGTCGTCCTCCACCATGTGCCTGATGGTCTGTGACTGCATGGCCACAGCCTCCTCCACCTCGAAGATCTCACCGTCGTCGCTCTTCAGTGTTATCTTCTTCATCTCAACGGAGGCCATTGTTTTGGTCTTTGTAATATTAACTAAGACTTTGAATTGAGAACTTGGGAGAGAGTTTCTTCTTTGGCTTTGGTTGAGAGATTTGAGTTGCAAAGGTTGAGAGACTTTAGGGTGATTTTATAACCTACCCATAACACCTTGTCCAAGTAGGAAAAGGAGAGATTTTTTTTCTCATATTAGGAAACATTCTCATACTAGGAAAAGGAAAGTCGCTGACGGCCCCTGTAACAAATAGGAAAGGGAAAGTTTTACTTTAATTATATATTTTTTCTTCTTCGCTGTTTATTGTCATATATAGTTTTTCATGCAGCTTGATTTTATCCAACCCTATTATTGGGCAAGATTTTGGTAGAAGATGCTGGGGGGTTTGGCTGCACTAATTAAGGATGGCATGACTTTGACCTCTTGATCTATCTTAATCCTAATGACTTGCCCTGATGACTTAGCTGTTGGCTCGTTATGCGTTAACAAGGAGAGAAAAGAAAAGGAAAAAACTGGCTCAGAGACTAAAGCAATGAAATGTAAGATCGATACAATTTCAATCTTTTGCTATTTCTTTTCCCACAAGCAACATACGAACTTACTTTACAAGCAACATTTTTAGCTCAGATATTTTATAGCCTACCCACCTTGTCCAAGTGGGAAAAGGAGAGATATATATATTTTTCTCAAATTAGGAAACATTCAAATACTAGGAAAAGGAAAGTGGCTGACGGCCCCTGTAACAAATAGGAAAGGGAAAGTTTTATTTTAATTATATATTTTTTCTTCTTCGCTGTTTATTCTTTTTCATGCAGCTGATTTTATCCAACACTATTACTGGGCAAGATTTCGGTAGAAGGTGCTGGGGGGCTTGGCTGCACTAATTAAGGATGGGATGATATTGACCTCTTGGTCTATCTTAATCCTAATGACTTACCCTGATGAGTTAGCCGTTGGCTCGTTATGCGTTAACAAAGAGACTAAAGTAATGAAATGTTAGATTGATACAATTTCAATCTTTTGCTAATTCTTTTACCCACAAACAAAATATAGGAAGAAACACAGCACACCTTTTAAAATAGAGTTGAAGAAACCAACAGTTGAAGTAAAACTCTAAACCTCCATGTTAATATTGAAACAGTAGCAACACATTCTCTTTCATCTCTATCAGGATAATACACAAAGGTTTGATTTCTCTTACTGAAAATTCATAAGCAGCCTCCTGAATATGCTAGCACATGAGAAATTCGGATTCTAGGCTGACCTCGGTTTCATTCAGATTGACTAAAGTCCAAGCATATTAATGTAACTATTACAGACGTTAAAGAAAATAGTTGCAAGTTGTCGCATTCGGTAAACTCCCAATCATTGATGAAGGATAAAGTATGAACCCTAATGCCAGATATTCTGGACAGCCTGAACCTGGTTTGCGGCTCAACCTGCAAAGCATTCCACTACATGCAAGAGGAGAATTGGAAAATGAACTCTGACTTTTATCAATCCTGTTTTTTTCTTCTTTTTCCAGAGTTGGAGAAATGGACAGCTTCATACGAACTTACTTTACAAGCAACATTTTTAGCTCAGATATTTAATAATTAAATGAACCCTTGATACCCTCAAGGCTCTCTCCCAAAGATAACCTGCAAGGAAACATGTATCAAGAGTTACAAAACAACCCCAAGTAATTTGCCAATGCCTTGATGCGATTATTTATGTAGGTAAACTGTCTCTAACTTGAATCAGAAACTGTAAGATAAAAATGACCAAAAAGTTAGAAAGAAAAGGTTGCAGCAGACACCACCAACTTTTACAAAACCAATACAAGTAATCTCAAAAAACCAACACAAAATTACTCGACCAGCCTAGCAAACTAAGCACAAACTAAAAGAAAAGGGCAGAGACAAAGCAATGCGCTGGTAAGGATTGAAACCTCTGTAGCAAAAACATTCTATGCTAAGTTTGGATGCTTAGGACATGCAGCTCATCCCATTATCACCAAGCACACCCACATGCATGTAATTTTTGAAACTATAATAAACTAAAATGCATCCTGCATTTAAGTAGCCAGAACAATTGACTTGTTGTATAATTCAAAGGACCTTCTAGCTCCAAAGGACATGTATTTTTTTAAAAAGAAGCTCCAAAAGACATGCTATTCTCCATCACCAAATAACCTAGTTTTATAGGAGCAGGATTAGTCATCTGATTTGACTTTTTATATATACACTTTCACTTAAAGAAAAATCACAACTTCCTTCAAGGCTCTATATACCACAAAAGGCAGCAGGGTAGCATTATCTGAACAGTAGGAGAAAATACTCTGCCAATATAACTTCATCATCTTAGTAAAGTACAGAAGCCAGGATGGCAGCCAACACAGAACATCTAATCCCCAACCTATGGTAAATTTGTTATACTTTAACAACACTGCCATAAAGCAAAGAATTCCTCAACAAGTTTTCAAAGCCACTTCCAGAAAGACCTAATTTATAATATGAATTGAGTGTAGACCCAATAGGCATGATCCACATCACTATCTACTATTACCAAGTGACAATAAGGTTCACATCCTCACACTAAATAACAATAATCTTTGTAACATGTCCAATGTCCAGATCAGTTATTTTATTTTTATTTTTAAGTAAGAAATTTATCACATTGGGCATAACCAAGCATTGAGGAATGAGAGGAAAAAAAACAGAAAAAAGAAATAAGGATAGCACAAAATCAATCTGCATGGAATGCAAGGAAAAACTAGAAGAGATCTATCTATCTTTTTTTTGGGTGTTGAAAGAAAGGATCTATCTAATCCACTCAAAAATCCATTCCACCATTGTATCCCTCAATTCCCATTAAAGAACGGTCTTCTCCCTAAAAAAATTATGTTCCTTAATTGTGAGATTTGATCCGATTCGTAATAAAATTTGGTGCTAGTAAATAATGAAAGGTGGCTGCTGGTATAACCTGAAGGACCACAAACCACGGGAGACTGACCTTGATGAGCACCACCAACACTGAATTAAAAACTGAGAAAATAGTAATAACATTTTAGAAGGAAGAGAAAGGTTCAAGAATATATCCCAGATGTCAAATGATAGTGCGATACTCAGTACGCCAACCTCCACTAGGTAGGGGATCTTTATGAATGCCAACTATTTGCTAGTCAGTACAGTTCTGAGGATATATTTCAGTATAATACCAGAAATTGTGTCTTTTAAGAGGTCCTAGACTGGTCCAACAACTGCCCTTGACTATACCTTTAACCCATCGCAACACAACCTCAGTGTCTACACTAGACAAATTAGCCCACAGGCGGGTTAACACAAGCAAATATTAAAACCCAACAAAGAATTAAGTCCCTAAAGTGCCCCAACACTCAACTGCAAAATGTAAAACACTTCAATCAGCCAAATCAATTTTGTACTGTTGGCTAAGGTATCGCAATCATCTCAAGTTTTCTATATTCATATACAGGATACAAGAGCAGCCAAGGCTACATTCTTACATTCAGGAAAAAGAGACTTGATTTTTCACCTTCTTAGTGAACCAGCAGTTGGCAGTTCTCAACCTTTTTTCCTAATGAAATGAAAAAGAAAAGTCCCTTTTTCCAAGGAATAAAAATAAAAATTTGGTGGTTTGATGTTCTCAGCAATTTTTACCATTGACCCCTTCAAAAATCCAGTAATCAAATGTAAAAACTACATTTTTTCAACTATGGCCCTTATGTTATCTTCAAAATTCTAATTATCATGTTGCATCAACTCAATAGTACAGCAAAAAAAAAAAATTAATATCCCTAAAGACATGGAACTTACTTGTGCATACAGTACTTGAACTCTTGGCCCCTAACTAGATCTTTCCCTCCTTCTTCAAGCTACAACCAGAACACATGCCACATAAAATAATAAGTATAACGGAACCAAGCCAACAAAGGAGAGTATAAAATAGTCCATCTTACCGGATCACTCTCGTAGACAAGCTCATAACAAGTTGAAGAAAGGCATCGCAAAGCACAATTCTCTTTTGCTATCAAAGAAGACTTACATTGCCAACCCCACAATCCGCTATTCCCATAGTGTAAGGAAAAAAAAAAGAGCAATCAGAGCACTATCATATCTATGATTTGCAAGCTGACAATATGCTTACTACTAGGAAAAGCACAAAAAATTAGTAAATGGGAAATTAAAAAGAGAGAAGGAGGTTGGTACCTCTCAATATCTGCATAACATTGGTTCTTCTTCTGCCTCGTCTCAAAATCCTGCCAAATACCCACATAAAAAACCCCATCAAAATTCAGAATTAATAAAAAGAAACAAAAATCTCACAATCATAGCATTAGTATCAGATAAAGAAATTAACAGAGAGTTAGAAACAGAGGCATTACAGAGATTGGGCGACGAGACTTGGCGAGAACTGTGGGAGATAACAACAACAATAACAAAAATAAAAGGACTGGAATTCCGAGCGAGGAAGAAGATGAAGAATGTTGATTCACCATTCTCTTTTCCTTCTTCGGGGAGTTGAATTTTGAACAATTATAACTTTCTCTCTTGTTCCCGTTCTTCAAGTTTGTGAGATGAGCGGCACACGGACACCCGACTTGACTTGGGCTCAGCTCAATTCTCTGCAGACGCTGCTGGATCAAGTGAACAGCCCAATTCTCATCCCCATCGATTGGCCCATAAATTACTTTGATACAACCAATTTGACCACTTTGCCCAACAAAATAATGTGAGGTTTTTTTTTTTTTTTTTTTTTGGCGACCAAAATTTTGTACTTAATGGTCTTGCAGTGGACTCTTTTATAATCTATTCTATGCTATTATTTAAGAAAATTATCTTTATTGATTTAAAAGGGTAAAATATCAATTTTTCTAACTATAACCAAACCATTCTGATAATTGATTTCAACTAGTATTATAAAAAATAAAATATTTTTTTTTTCAAACGATAGTATAAAATAACTCTAATTAGGGATGGCAACGAGCCGAGTAGGGGCCAAGTATGACAATACCATCCTCGTCCCCTCTGTCTTTCCTCGTCATCGTCCTTGTCCCCAAACTCATCTCCGTTTAATAGGTTTTGGGGAATCCCTGTACCCGTCCCCATCAGAGGACTATCCTCCATACCCACCCCAAATCCCAAATTTTTTTTACCAAAAAAAAATATATCATACATTTTTACATTAAGTTTCATATTAAATTATCATTCAACACATTCAAATTAACTATAAAGTTTAACTCAACTATTCAAAATTACATCAATTCAAATGTGGATTTCACTAATAAACCCATTTTATCATGACATAATATACAAAAACTCTTATAGAGCCTATTTGGAGTGAAAACCCCAAAACTAGCCACTTGTCATTTTCTAATTGGTTCTTAATGTGTTAAAATTTTATAATAACCAATTAGAAAATAATAAGTGACTAGGTTTGGATTTTTCTTTCCAAATAGGCTCTATATGAGTTTTTATATAATATGTCATGCTAAAATAGGTTTTTGAATAAATATCTAGACCAGAATTTGGGTGCAAGGCACAGACTCACTCCCTAGTCAACTAACCTAACATCTGCAGTATTAAAACTTAAATATAGAAAAATTTAGTACTTCAAAGTAGGGGTGAGCGCGGTTCGGTCCGGTCCAATTTCCACCTCACACTGGAACTGCTACTAGTTAAACAGTGCAGTTCGATCCTATTTTAGTAAAAAAAATTATGAAACCGGTCGGTCCGATTTAAACCCGTTCCAGCACGATTTCCAATTTTTTCGATTTTGGACAAGATATTATTTTATTTATTTTTACAACTTCCAACTAATATTTTATTTTTGGGCATAAAAATTCAAAAATGATCCAATTTCATGCAAAGAGAGATTATTGGACCTAGAAAAGAAAGGTGTTTTGAAGTTGGGCTTGGAGAAATATTAGTTATGGGATTAGAAATTTAGCATTGGACTTAAATCATTTTTAAAAAATAAAAATAATACGCATCCGGTCCAGTCCGGTCTGATTTTGTAAGTTGTGAAACTGACACCTGTTTGCCCGTTTTGCGTTTACTCCTGTGATGGAAGGGCAAAGTTCCCCACTGCCTTGAGAACCATAGACTGGTCAACAAGTCAGCTTTCTTTGGTGTGCGAGCGTGCCACTGCTAGTAATAAAAATTCTAGCAGACTTAGTTTGGAATGGATAACTTGCGCCCCAAGTTACTGATTTCTGCAAACAAACGATTGTGAATTTGGGTGAGGAATATCTCCCAAGTAAGTTCTTTTCTCGCCTCAGACTGGTGAGGACTTTAACAATTTATCTCAGTATAAAGAGGTTGTTCTGGCCAGAATGGTTGATGGAATTTAAACTGTTTTTAGGCAGAACTGATGGAATTTAAACTGTTTTTAGGCAGAACTGATGGAATTTAAACTGTTTTTAGGCAGAACTGATGGAATTTAAACTGTTTTTAGGCAGAACTGATGGAATTTAAACTGTTTTTAGGCAGAACTGATGGAATTTAAACTGTTTTTAGGCAGAACTGATGGAATTTAAACTGTTTTTAGGCAGAACTGATGGAATTTAAACTGTTTTTAGGCAGAACTGATGGAATTTAAACTGTTTTTAGGCAGAACTGATGGAATTTAAACTGTTTTTAGGCAGAACTGATGGAATTTAAACTGTTTTTAGGCAGAACTGATGGAATTTAAACTGTTTTTAGGCAGAACTGATGGAATTTAAACTGTTTTTAGGCAGAACTGATGGAATTTAAACTGTTTTTAGGCAGAACTGATGGAATTTAAACTGTTTTTAGGCAGAACTGATGGAATTTAAACTGTTTTTAGGCAGAACTGATGGAATTTAAACTGTTTTTAGGCAGAACTGATGGAATTTAAACTGTTTTTAGGCAGAACTGATGGAATTTAAACTGTTTTTAGGCAGAACTGATGGAATTTAAACTGTTTTTAGGCAGAACTGATGGAATTTAAACTGTTTTTAGGCAGAACTGATGGAATTTAAACTGTTTTTAGGCAGAACTGATGGAATTTAAACTGTTTTTAGGCAGAACTGATGGAATTTAAACTGTTTTTAGGCAGAACTGATGGAATTTAAACTGTTTTTAGGCAGAACTGATGGAATTTAAACTGTTTTTAGGCAGAACTGATGGAATTTAAACTGTTTTTAGGCAGAACTGATGGAATTTAAACTGTTTTTAGGCAGAACTGATGGAATTTAAACTGTTTTTAGGCAGAACTGATGGAATTTAAACTGTTTTTAGGCAGAACTGATGGAATTTAAACTGTTTTTAGGCAGAACTGATGGAATTTAAACTGTTTTTAGGCAGAACTGATGGAATTTAAACTGTTTTTAGGCAGAACTGATGGAATTTAAACTGTTTTTAGGCAGAACTGATGGAATTTAAACTGTTTTTAGGCAGAACTGATGGAATTTAAACTGTTTTTAGGCAGAACTGATGGAATTTAAACTGTTTTTAGGCAGAACTGATGGAATTTAAACTGTTTTTAGGCAGAACTGATGGAATTTAAACTGTTTTTAGGCAGAACTGATGGAATTTAAACTGTTTTTAGGCAGAACTGATGGAATTTAAACTGTTTTTAGGCAGAACTGATGGAATTTAAACTGTTTTTAGGCAGAACTGATGGAATTTAAACTGTTTTTAGGCAGAACTGATGGAATTTAAACTGTTTTTAGGCAGAACTGATGGAATTTAAACTGTTTTTAGGCAGAACTGATGGAATTTAAACTGTTTTTAGGCAGAACTGATGGAATTTAAACTGTTTTTAGGCAGAACTGATGGAATTTAAACTGTTTTTAGGCAGAACTGATGGAATTTAAACTGTTTTTAGGCAGAACTGATGGAATTTAAACTGTTTTTAGGCAGAACTGATGGAATTTAAACTGTTTTTAGGCAGAACTGATGGAATTTAAACTGTTTTTAGGCAGAACTGATGGAATTTAAACTGTTTTTAGGCAGAACTGATGGAATTTAAACTGTTTTTAGGCAGAACTGATGGAATTTAAACTGTTTTTAGGCAGAACTGATGGAATTTAAACTGTTTTTAGGCAGAACTGATGGAATTTAAACTGTTTTTAGGCAGAACTGATGGAATTTAAACTGTTTTTAGGCAGAACTGATGGAATTTAAACTGTTTTTAGGCAGAACTGATGGAATTTAAACTGTTTTTAGGCAGAACTGATGGAATTTAAACTGTTTTTAGGCAGAACTGATGGAATTTAAACTGTTTTTAGGCAGAACTGATGGAATTTAAACTGTTTTTAGGCAGAACTGATGGAATTTAAACTGTTTTTAGGCAGAACTGATGGAATTTAAACTGTTTTTAGGCAGAACTGATGGAATTTAAACTGTTTTTAGGCAGAACTGATGGAATTTAAACTGTTTTTAGGCAGAACTGATGGAATTTAAACTGTTTTTAGGCAGAACTGATGGAATTTAAACTGTTTTTAGGCAGAACTGATGGAATTTAAACTGTTTTTAGGCAGAACTGATGGAATTTAAACTGTTTTTAGGCAGAACTGATGGAATTTAAACTGTTTTTAGGCAGAACTGATGGAATTTAAACTGTTTTTAGGCAGAACTGATGGAATTTAAACTGTTTTTAGGCAGAACTGATGGAATTTAAACTGTTTTTAGGCAGAACTGATGGAATTTAAACTGTTTTTAGGCAGAACTGATGGAATTTAAACTGTTTTTAGGCAGAACTGATGGAATTTAAACTGTTTTTAGGCAGAACTGATGGAATTTAAACTGTTTTTAGGCAGAACTGATGGAATTTAAACTGTTTTTAGGCAGAACTGATGGAATTTAAACTGTTTTTAGGCAGAACTGATGGAATTTAAACTGTTTTTAGGCAGAACTGATGGAATTTAAACTGTTTTTAGGCAGAACTGATGGAATTTAAACTGTTTTTAGGCAGAACTGATGGAATTTAAACTGTTTTTAGGCAGAACTGATGGAATTTAAACTGTTTTTAGGCAGAACTGATGGAATTTAAACTGTTTTTAGGCAGAACTGATGGAATTTAAACTGTTTTTAGGCAGAACTGATGGAATTTAAACTGTTTTTAGGCAGAACTGATGGAATTTAAACTGTTTTTAGGCAGAACTGATGGAATTTAAACTGTTTTTAGGCAGAACTGATGGAATTTAAACTGTTTTTAGGCAGAACTGATGGAATTTAAACTGTTTTTAGGCAGAACTGATGGAATTTAAACTGTTTTTAGGCAGAACTGATGGAATTTAAACTGTTTTTAGGCAGAACTGATGGAATTTAAACTGTTTTTAGGCAGAACTGATGGAATTTAAACTGTTTTTAGGCAGAACTGATGGAATTTAAACTGTTTTTAGGCAGAACTGATGGAATTTAAACTGTTTTTAGGCAGAACTGATGGAATTTAAACTGTTTTTAGGCAGAACTGATGGAATTTAAACTGTTTTTAGGCAGAACTGATGGAATTTAAACTGTTTTTAGGCAGAACTGATGGAATTTAAACTGTTTTTAGGCAGAACTGATGGAATTTAAACTGTTTTTAGGCAGAACTGATGGAATTTAAACTGTTTTTAGGCAGAACTGATGGAATTTAAACTGTTTTTAGGCAGAACTGATGGAATTTAAACTGTTTTTAGGCAGAACTG